TTCTTATGAAAAAGGAAAAAAAAAAAAGAAGAGGCACATTCTTCACTAATAAGAGGGAGCACAATTCGGCTTAAACTGTGATAGGAATTAAAAGAACAATTTCGGTTTGTTTTTTAACTCAAAAAAATAACATAAAAAACCATTTTTTATTTTTCAATTCGGTTTGGTTTCTGAAATTTTTTGTTCGATTTAAATCAAAAACTTAATTTTCTTTTTAAAGTTTTAAAATAATACGAATAAATCAAAAAATCAATATGTTAATATTATTTTAGATATATAGTAGATTGATGGTATGTTGCATTCGTTTTTTTCTTGATTCATTTGATCAAAAATCAAACCAAAATTGTTAAAAACTAATCGAAAAGCAAATGATCACCTCTATTATCAAATTGAGAAACTAATTATAATACAAGAGTAAATTGTAAATTAGTCCCTCTAGTTAATGAATTATTTTTTTTTAAAAAAAACTAATTATTTAGTTTCTTAATCAATATTGACCAAACTTAATTCAATATTAATTCTTCATATATATATATATATATATATATATATATATTACATTTTCTCATCAATTCTTTCATATTTTTTACTTATTTTTTTTTATTTATTAAAACAAAAAGCGAAAACAATTGAAAAAGAACAAAAGGATTAATTTACAAGAAAAATAAAAAATATAGAAACTAAATAATTAGTTTTTAAAATAACATAACTAATTAATTCGATTCTCAAAACTAGAGGGGATATATATATATATCGAGAGAGATATTAAGTAGGTGCTGACCCTACTATAAGAGCTTAGAATCAAGGACTAAATCCCGGGAACAATAAAGAAGAAACAAAACATAAAACAAATTGATAGAAATTCCATCTGCTTTAAATATTTATCATGTCTAATAACTCTTAAGCTCTATCCACATTTAATTCCAAATCAAATCTAATAATTTCTCCTCTCTTCATCCACCAAATCCTTTATAAGATTCATGTTCTTATATATTATGTAATTAAATTTTTATCATGTGAACACAAATAGGTAAATAATATATGTATGGAAGTAAAAAGAAAACAAAATCCTTTAATTAAACTAAAAGTATCTAAATAGAAAGGAAAATAAACGCTTTCAAATTTCTTTTCCATTGAAGAGTCCGATAGCCTTATTCCTAATCCTAATGATCCGGATCGAGCACTATGAAAGTAGTACGGCTCAAGGCATAGGCCATTAAGGCCTATGCTTAGGGTCGTCATAGAAAGATGGACCCCCAATTAAAATTTTACCTTAAGCCTACATCGGTAAAGAATGAGATAAATTAAAAGGTGCGGCCTCTACCTAAGTATGAGATGCCATTTTTCTCTCCATTAACGGATCATAGGTACTAGAGTTCCGGTATTGAAAGACTCCCATTGTCCGGAGATATTATTATTTCAACGTTAAAAATTCTATCTTTTCTAGATGTCTCTCCAAGTACCTTCTATTTATAAAAAATTTTAATTTTAATTTTAGTAAGACACTTTTACTTACATAAAAGTTTCGGAAAAATATTTGTGAGTGAAACAATTTTTAGATCTCCAAATTTTGTTATTATATTCCTTTCTTTCTTCAAACAATTAGGGATCTCTTATAAAATCTTTTCTAATTAGCTTGGCGGAAGAATGCGAAGGTAATTTTTTTAATTTATGCAAATAAAATTATGTACATAAATCATATAATATTTTATTTTTTTCTCAAATTTCTTTTTATTTTTTCGAGTGATTATCTCTAGGTTTACTTGATTAGGTGTGGCAAGCAAATATACTCGGGTGCCAAAGTTTCTTACTATTTTTATAATTATATTTTAATTTTATTATTTGAATAAAATGTCTACTAGAAAGTATGAATATGGATATGAAAAATCTAAAAAGAAAAGACGGGTAGAAGAACTAATTCAATCCCAAAAATGTACACTTGATAGGTTTGTTACTAATATTAAACCCCAAATACAAGAAGAACAAGATAAATATTTAAATGAAAAATATAGTTAAAAATTGTGAAGATAACAATTCAAATTCACCAAAAAGTAATGAAGAATATGATGAAAATTTAGAAGATGATGTTTCAATAAATAAAAGTGAAAATATTAATGATGAAGATGCAACAACAATTAAAAATATTTACGATCCGAGCACAATGAAAAAATTTAGACTCAAAAGCTGATCGATTTATTAGTTGAGAAAGGTCCAATTAGAGAAATTTTAGATTTTTCAAGAGATAAAAATTCTAGACATTTTTCTACGAGTTCATTACATTCGAAAATTACCAAACGGAGAAAACATGATAGAAAATGGCTAGTATATTAAAAAGAGTTAGATAAAGTGTTTTTTTATTGTTGTAAATTATTTAGTTTTAAATCAAATATTCAATTAGCAAATGAAGGGTGTGGAGATTGAAAAAATCTTAGTGCCAAACTTAAAAGTCATGAGACAAGTAATGAACATGCTATTAATATGAACATTTGGGTTGATGCTCGGATGAGATTGCTTAAAAACAAAACAATTGATAAGCATTTACAAGAGAAAATAAATAAAGAGAAAGAGCATTGGAGGAATGTATTATTAAGAATTATTGTTGTTGTGAAAGCTCTTTCAAAAAATAATTTGGTATTTTGTGGTACAAATGAGAAGATTTATCGGGACAATAATGGAAATTTTTTGAGTTTAATTGAAATGATTGCTGAGTTTGATCCAATAATGTAAGAACACCTTAGATGTATTCAAAATGGAGATATTTATATGCATTATCTTGGTCATAATATACAAAATGAGTTGATAAATATTTTAGCATTAGAAATAAGAAATACCATTATCGGAAAAATCAAAGAATCAAAATATTTTTCAATTATACTTGATTGTACTCCGGATGCAAGTTATTAAGAACGAGATGTCTCTTATGTTAAGGTGTGTAGATATTTTGACAATTCCAATAAAAAGAGGAGTATTTTATAGATTTTTTAAAAGTGGATGATACCTCGATGAATGTCTTTTTAATGAACTGATAAGTAAGATAAAAACTCTTGAGCTTGACATAAATAATGTGAGAGGGCAAGGATATGATAATGGGTCTAATATGAAAGGTAAACATCAAAGTTTACAAAAAAGATTATTAGATACAAATTCTAGAGCATTTTATACACCATGTGGTCTGTCACAATTTTAATTTAGTTCTTTGTGATATGGCTAATTCATGTGCTAGTGCTATGACATTTTTTTGGAGTGAAACAACGCATATATTCATTATTTTCTTCTTCTACAAAAAGATGAAAAATTTTACAAGATCATGTTTCTAATTTGACACTTAAGCCATTATTACAAACACGTTGGGAATATCGTATTGAAAGTGTTAAAGTAATTAGATTTCAAGCTCAACAAATAAGAGATGCTTTATATCAATTAACGAAACTAGTGAGGATCCTAAAACAAAAGCTGAAGCTATTTCTTTAGCAACATATGAGATTGAAAATTTTGAATTTCTATTAGGCATGATTATTTGGTATGATATGTTGTTTGATGTTAATACGGTTAGTAAATATTTATAATATAAAGATATGGATATTGCTCTTGCAATAGACCACTTGAAAGGTCTTACTTCTTTTTTTAAAAGCTATAGAGAAAAATGAGTTTACGTCTTGTATGATTTTGGTTAAGGAAATTGTAGAGCAAATGAATATAGAACCAAAATTTCGTGAAAAGCGTACAATAAGAAGAAAGAAACAATTTGATGAGATTGAAAATGAAGATATTGAATTATCTATTGAAGAATCTTTTAGAATTAATTATTTTACATATTTAGTTGATCATGCGATTTTCTCTCTTCAAAATAGGTTTGAACAATTTAGAATATATGAAGATAATTTTGGTTTTCTTTATAGTGTAGAAAAATTAAAATCACTTGATGATGATATTTTGAAAAAAAATTGTTTAAATCTTGAAAACTTTCTAAAGCATGATATGCTTTATGATATTGTTGATTTAGATTTATTTTCAGAATTAAAAGTTTTAAAAGAAATTATAGATATGAAAATGAAAACACCACTTGCCATACTATATTTTATAAAAAAAGGTAAATTCTTTTCTAAATGCATGGATAGCATATAGAAAATACTATTAACTATCATGTTACTATAACTTCGAGCTGAAAGAAGTTTTTCAAAATTAAAATTAATAAAATCTTATTTACGTGCAACTATGTCACAAGAAAAATTAAGTAATTTGACTATATTATCAATTGAAAAAGATTTACTTTATAAACTTGAATACAAAAATTTAATTAGAGATTTTGCATCTCGGAAAGTAATAAAAATAAAATTTAAATAATGTTTAATATTTATTTATTTTATGAAAGAGTCTTTAAAATATTATTTTATCTAGAGTCATATATATTATAAAGCCGACACTGTAAGAAAGTAAAGTCCGAGGCAAAGAAGACATGTCTACACAAATGAAAAACAAAGATCAACCGCTTAACTTTAAGGGTGCCATGATTAATATTGGTCAACAAGAAGATGATGGCGCTAGCTTTGATTGAATGAAGATGGAAGAGATAAAAGGGAAAGTTGGGGTTATTGTGATCGCTGAAAAAGAGAAAGGACTTACTATTGAATTATCTGAAGCTTTTAAAACCCGTCTTTGGAAACCATGGTAACTAGCTATTGGTTAAAGTCTTAGTTCGATTGGTTGGTTACAAGGCTTTATGTAAGAGACTGGAGACTATTTGGAATAGCACGGCCCCCTTTTAGGGTCATTGATATGGAGAACGAGTTCTTTCTTTTTCAATTTTCTACCACAAAGAAGTATCTCCATGCCTTGGTAGATGGCTAATGGACAATTTTTGGCTTATGTCTCACACACAAACATGGGATCATCGTTTTTGTGCTTTTCAAGGTTAAGTGACTAGAGCAGTTGTATGTGTTCAATTTTCAGATCTGCTAGTTGATTGGTATCATCCCCGAATTTTACGCACGATAGGCAATATGATTGAACGCACAGTTAAAATCGACTCTAACACTCAAACTAGTCAACGTGGAAAGTTTGCAAGAGTGGCGGTCGATATGAATCTTGAAGCTCTGGTGAAGGCATTTATTCGAGTGGAGGATATTGATCAAAAGACATGTTATGAAGGTCTTCCTTAGCTATGTTATACATGTGGGCTTATTGGACATAGTGGTTTGTTTTTCCCTCTAAGAAACCGGTTAATGCAGAGGTGAATACAAGTGATCACATGGGCAATGGTGTATTTCAAAAAATGGCAGATTACTTGATTCCAACAATAAGGGCCATGGCTGCCTGCGCCTGTGAACCCAAAGAGAAGAACAAGAAAGGAAACAGATAATAGACAGGGATCCCGTTTTGAGGCATGCGTGGTTCTTCCAGAAAAAAAGTAGAGAAGAATTCTGACAAATTGGAAATGCATGATACAGCCCGTTTTGCAAGTAAAAAAGTCCAAACAGCTAAGGTAAATGCTGCAACATTTGCCGAGTCTCAACAAGCCAACTTCAGTTCAGCCCATGGCTACCAATACTCAAATTCAGCCCACCATTGCCAAGGTTCCAATTCAGCCCACTCTAGCCCCGCCCACGGTTGACAAGAATCCAGAAAAAGGCTGTCAATCCTCCACTCCAGACCACTTTAGTCTAGCCCACAGCTGCGGTTTCTCCACTCCAGCCCACTTTAGTCGAGTCAACAGTAGTCCATTATTCTCTTCAGCCCACATTAGCACGAACCACACCTGACAAACCCATAACTACACATTCAACTATTGTCCCAGACAAATCCCCACAACCCGTCTTACTCTCTTCATCTTGGAGCCACAAATTAAACACAAAGACACAGGGGACAAAGGAAACCACAGGGACTAGCAGTGTTGTCTCTCAGATCCAGGAAACAATGGCCCTTAATAAGCAGACGGTGGTGCACATTATTGATGGTGGACAACCGTCTAACATTCTGTTAAGGTCCAGCTATGGATTCCTTAACAAGAATCCTAGAAATTGGGGAAGAAGTGTAGTAGAAAGAAAAGAGAGAGAGAGAGAGAGAGAAGTGTTCGTCTATTGCATTCAATAGAAAATCAATCGTTACAAAACTTACATCTCTAGATAATTCTCTTACTACTTATACGATGCAACAACCCACAAATTGATTAATAAACTAATTATTTTGCTAGACAATTGTAACTAACTAGTACACATGGCAACATGAATAACAGACCAATCCTAGACAAATACACATGTTTATAACTCCTAATGAATGAACACAATATCAATCAATGAATTACCATACGTAACAATACTCCATACTGGAAACAATCCTTGTCCTCATGGATTGAAAGAAAAACTTGAAAACTGCTACTTTAAGTCTTCAATGAGTTCCTAAGTAGCATCTTCCGTGGACATACCCTCTCATTGAATGAAACCGATTACAACTACCTAATTCCCTTTCTTCATGATTTTTTTGTCCAATACTATCACAAGAAACAACTTAATCCGGCCATTGTCATTAAGTGTACGTATGCGATAAAGGTAACTGCATTATTCCCAACCTTCCTCTTCAACAAAGATACATGGAAAACAAAATGAATCATTGCTCCCTTAGGTAGTTCCAATTTATAAGCCACCTTACCCAACTTCTATAAAATCTTGTAAGGGCCAAAGAATCATGGATTGAGTTTAAAATTTTTTCTCAAAGCCACACTTGTTTGCCAATATGGTTGAAGCTTGAGATAGACCATATCTCCCACTTGAAACTCCCTTTCAATGCTTCCTTTTTTAGCAACTTGCTTTATTCTACGTTGTGCCCTCCCCAACTAAATTTTTGATGAATCTAGAGCTCTTCATTCCTAAACAAAATCAATCACAATTACTATGGATGTACCATGAATGACAAGCTCTTTGGTAGGTGGTGGACAACCATATAAGGCTTGAAAAGGACTTATCTATATAGTTGAATGAAAGCTAGAGCCGAGTTAAAAGCAACCACTCGATTTCACCTTTTTGGACGATTCATACACTTGCATCTTAAGTAATTTTCCAAGCACCGATTCAGGCTCTCCCTTTAACCATCATTTTATGGATGGTAAGTTGAACTCATCGGTAATTTGACCCCTAATGACTTAAATAATTTTGTCCAAAACAAACCGATGAAGTTTTTGTCCCCGTCACTAACAATCGAAGTTGGCAAACCATGGAACTAATAAATTTGTTCCAAAAGCTGATGTGCCACCTCCTTGGCTAAAAAAGGATGAGTTAATGCTAAGAAGTGTCCATATTTTGTAAATCTATCCACAATGACCAATATAATCTCCTCCCTTTTAGATTTTGGAAGTCCCTCTATAAAATCCATGGAGATGCCCTTCCAAGCTTCATTTGGAATAGGCAATGGTCTGCTAGAGTCCTGGATAAGCCATTCTTTTAGATTTAGGTCTCATACAAGTGTCACACTCCTCCATAAACTTTTTAACCATCTTCTTCATAGAAGGCCAATAAAAAACCCGAAGCCTTTTTTTATGAATTCGGATGCTAGCATACCCACCTACTATGGATTGATGAGCTACCGCCATTAATTAGTTCCGAGCTCCTAGTTACACCCAATGTATAACTTTCTTGTGTATCTCAAAACCCCCTTTTGATACACATACCGAGGAAACTAATTTATATTTATCCTCTTTATAGCTAAAATCTCTCGAGCAATAGGATCTTGCAAATAAGACTCCTCTACTTCATTATACCAAGTAGTAATCATAGTTGTAATTGACCCAAAGTTACCCTTTTTTGGCAGTCTTCTTGATAAAGTAGCGACCACGATATTGCCTTTTCCCTTCTTATAGTGAATTTTGTACTACAATCCCAACAACTTAGTCAACCCTTTCCTCCAAATTGAGGTATGAATTTTCTCGTTATAAGAGGTATTTTAGGCTCTCATGATTATTTTGAATAATGGATTCCCATACTCCAAATAACATCTCCATTTCTCCAATGCCATTAAAATGGGCAAGTACTCTTTCTCATATATGGACGAGTCCTAGGTTTTTAGTACTTAATGCCTTGTCGAAGAAAGCCAAAGGGTGACCATCCTATGATAATATAGCCCCCACACCAATACATGAAGCATCAATTTCTAGCACAAAAGTTTTATTGAAGTTGGGTAGAGCCGAACAAGAGTGTTACATAAGGCAATTTTAAGTTGCTCAAATGACTCATAAGCCTTTTTCGTTCTATAGGAAATTGTTCTTTTTCAATAAATCAATCAATGGCTTGTTCAATAACCATAACCATGAAGGAACTTCCTATTGTACCTAGCTAACCTCAAAAAACCCCTTAATTCCTTAATGGTTTGAGGTACTAACCACCTTCTTATTGCCTCTATATTCTTAGGATCGGTAGCCACTTTTGCCTCCGAGATATCACATGGCCTAGGTACTCAATCTATGTCCGAATAAAAAAACATTTGGATCTTCGGGCATATAGTTAGTTCCTCATTAGTACCTTTAGTACCATTACTAAATGCTTGATATGCAAATGCATAGTATGATTGTAAATGAGAATGTTGTCAAAGAAGACTAATACTAATTTCCTAAAAAATGGCTCTAACACTAAATTCATCATGGCTTGGAAAGTAACAGGGGCATTGGTTAACCCAAATGGGACTACCTTAAACCCATAATGCTTTTGATAAGTCCTGAATGTAGTTTTTTCAATGTCTTGTTCATACATTCTTACCTAGTGGTATCTAGACCGTAGGTCAATCTTTGAGAAGAAATAAGAGCCTTACAACTCATCCAACAAATCATCAATTAGGGGAATTGGAAATTTGTTCTTGATGGTGATATTATTAAGTCGCTTATAGTCCTCACAAAACCTCTAAGTTGTATCTTTTTTTTTAACTAGTACTATTGGAGGTGCAAAAAGGCTGCAACTAGGTTGAATGATGCCATTGCTTAGCATTTCCTTTACTAACTTCCCAATTCCACCCTTATGAACAAATAAACTTCGATAGGGTTTCATATTGACTAGCTTTGCTCTTGAAACCAAATTGATTCCATGATCAAACCTTCTTATTGGTGGTAATTATTTTGGTTCAGCAAATACTCTTTCGTATTCAATTAACAAGGCCTATATCTCTATATTTTATATCCCTTCCTTTGCATCTTCACTAACTATAATAGAGAACATTTGTCCCACAAATCCATCGATCGCTTCGCTCAAGGTTTTGTACACCTTCTTTGCTATCATTTGTAGTAATCTAGCCTCTTCAATAATTCCTTTTAATTTAATAATTCTACCATCCTTCTTGTAACACCCCCAACTTAGGATCTAAATAGGCCAAGAGTATTTTCGATATTGACTTATATTCAGAATACAATGAATGCAAGCCAACAAGCCTACTCTCTTAACATTATCAAAATACTAGCAAAGTGAACAATTTCGTATGGCTCCCTAATAAATAAGAAATAATAGGTCCATATTAAATAAAACTTATGTATAAATATTTTTAAAAATTCAACTAACATCAATTAATATTCCTACACTAGGTATAGAATTGAAATGCCATAATTTGGTCAAAAACCCATATTCTTGAAATCCAAATTAATCATTTAAATAAAACACCTTGTATTAAACTAAAGGGAACCATGCCTCTCTCTCTCTCTCTCTCTCTCTTGGTCTTTTTTTTTCCAAATTCCTTTTAGAAATTCATATTTAATTTAAAATAAAAATATTCCATATCCAAATATTCCATACAATAAAGTAGGATTATTCTACATTATTTTCATTTCATAAATAATTTAATTATCATATATTGCATTTAATTAAATAAATATTCAATGCATAGTAAACATTAAATCTTGCTTTAATGCCATTACTTTTATAAAAATTCCATAGACTAGAAATTCATTTAATTAATTCAATTAAACACTTAATAAATTCATTTGGACTCTTAATTAGAGTTTTGATCATTCACAATATATATATACTTTTTGTACATATGGAACTTTGGTTCCAAATTAATTTAAACTAAGCTACTAAACTAGTTCATTAAATTCATTTATCTTTCATTATTCATTAAATCTCATTTAATGACTTAGTTTTCATTTAGTTCTATACTTCTTACCATTAATTCTTTAGCTACTAAATTACGTAATCATCTACTTAAACCTCTATTTTTACTTTTTATTAATTCCTTTATTAATCAATTAACTCTTTTAGACCATTCTAATTAATTAAATGACTAATTAATTCACCAAGTTAACAAAAATTGCTTAACTTATCACCAATAACAAACACAATAACTTTATTAAACATTCAGAACATATTATTCATTATTACAAACGAAAATTGC